CGCCCGTACCCGTCGTTAACGCCTGAGCGAAACCCCAGGTGGCCGCGCAGGCAACCGCGCCGGTAATCCCGGTCACCTCACGACCGATCGCGCAACAGCTGCCCGCCTCTCAAACGGCGCCGCGGCCGCAGGTGCAGCCAATTCCGTCAGTTTTCGCGGAAAACAAGGACGACCCATTCGCGCAAATAGCTAACATCTGCAGCTTATTAGATAGAATCAATAGGCAGGAACTCGCCGTATTGTCCGCTAAAATAGCGGCCGCCACATCTGGCCACGAGCGTCTTAGGGCAATTAGCCAACACAAAACGCTTGTGGAAGGCCTTTGGGCTTTTACGAGCCAACCGTAAAAAACAATAGACCGCGCAATAAAACCGCGCTCCGCCGCGTCGTTAATTAGACCCACAAAAACACCTTAATGGGAAGTACAACCGCAGGTAGAACAAAACCTCGGGCTCTGGTTGTTTCGTATTTCAACGCAAACGGCATAAAGGGTCAAAGGGATGAAATCGCGGAATTCCTTCGCGATTATAACGTAGATATTTTCCTAGTGCAAGAGACATTCTTGAAACCTAGTGTACGCGATCCCAGAATCGCAAATTACAATATTGTCCGCCACGACCGGTTAGCAAACCGTCTGGGAGGCACACTTATTTATTATAAACGGTCCTTGCACTGTTGCCCGCTCGACATTCCAGAGCTAAGTCAAATAGAGGCATCCGCGTGTAGGTTAGCGCTCACCGGCCACAGGCCGCTTGTACTATTCTCAGCCTACCTCTCGGGGAATAGAACCCTCCTTCAAAGCGACCTAGATACGCTTCTTAACTTAGGCCCTTCCGTGATAATTGCAGGAGATCTAAACTGCAAACACAGCTCATGGGACATCAACAGCATCCCAAACAACAACGGAAAGCATCTCTTTAGCTTATCCGATAACCTAAATTTCAGTATAGTCGCTCCCACGACTCCCACAAGGTATCCTACGGTGGACAACTACCAGCACGCGTCACCGAGTGTCCTAGACATAATGTTATTCAGGGAGGTCTCGCTCGACATCGAGTCGCGATCAGGCGCGAACACACCGATTCGGCCCACCTAACGGAGGTGGACCGCGTAATCGAGACTAGGGCTGCGCTTCCACCGGAAGGCGAACCTTTAAATTCAGTGACCCCCCGAAGAGGTCCAAGATATTATTAAAAATTTAAAACCAAAATCCGCCCCGGGCCCAGATAATATAAGTAATAAGATTCTCAAAGCTCTCCCTGGGCCGCTTATCTGTTTACTGGCGACAATTTTCAATACCCTTCTCTCCAGTTGCTCTTTTCCGGACGACTGGAAGCAAGCCACGGTTATCGGTATTCGCAAGCCGAATAAACCAGCCAATCAGCCCTCTAGCTATCGTCCCATCAGCCTCCTTAGTTGCCTGGGGAAGCTCTACGAGCGGCTATTGTTAAACAGGCTCAAAGAGCACGTATTTTCCAACGGCCTTCTGCCGACGGAACAATTCGGCTTACGAGCTAGACACTCTTGTCCCGATCAGTTATACCACCTAACGGAGCACATCCTAAAAGGCTTTAACCACCCCAAACACATTAGTACAGGGGCTCTCTTCTTCGATCTCGCAAAAGCATTCGACAAAGTTTGGCACAACGGCTTGCTTTACAAGCTGTACACACTCCAAGTGCCAGATAGACTCGTACACACCATCCGGGCCTTTTTGTTGCACCGCTCTTTTCGATATCGAGTCGAGGGCACCCTCTCCACAAGCCGCCGCCTCACGGCCGGCGAACCACAAGGCTCCTGCCTCTCACCCTTGCTATTTACGCTCTACACGAGCGACATACCTAGAGACCCCCACGTCAATCTCGCGCTTTTCGCGGATGACACGGCGCTCTTTTACTCAGATCGCAACCTCAGTCAATTAACAACTCGACTCCAAAGCGCCGCCGACCGCCTCGGCGATTGGTTCCGCAAATGGAGAATCGATATTAATCCAGAAAAAAGTGTGGCGATTCACTTCACTCGTAGCACCCCCAACCCCCATCCGCCACACCGTTACAAAGGTCCTCGCCAGTACAGAAAGTTGGGGCAAATATCACTATATGGCCAAACTCTCCCCTGGGAGAAAACGGTCAAATATTTAGGAGTCACTTTCGACTCGCGTATGACTTTCACTACGCACATCAATCAAGTCCGAAATAAAGCCGCGTTCGTCTCCGGCCGGCTACACAATTTAACGAATAAGCATAGTAAAATGCCCTTAAGGCACAAACTACTGTTATATAAAGCTTGCGTAAGGCCAATCATGTCCTACGCTTGCATGATCTTCGCACATATAAATCCTACGCGCATTAACAAATTGCAAGTACTTCAAAGTAAGTTTATCCGCCGCGCAACCGGTGCGCAATGGTATCCGCGCAACGTCGACCTGCACAGCGATTGCAGACTCCCGACGATTCGCGCACATTTTAAAGATTTGACAAAACGGTTCTTCGATAGAGCCCAGCATCATCCCAACCCTCTGGTGGTAAGCGCAGCAAACTACCAACCGGACACAAACGCTAACGTAAACAAGCGTCGCCCGCGAAACGTCCTCATCGACCCGGTCGACGAAGAGGACTTAGATACGATGGACCCACCGCCGGGGGTCCCGCCGGATAACACTACACCCACAGTTAGTGTAACAACAATCACACCAGTGCGCCCTCGCCTCCGAGCACGGCGAGACACACACAACGCGTACACAAGGTACACCCGCGTTCCGGGGCGGTTCTCACCGCTCCCAGCCACCGATTAGCTAAATGCACAGTCGACGGCCGTCGGGGTCTCGGTCCGAACCGGCGACCTCGACGGCCCTTAGATGACACACCATAGTAGTTAAACGCACACATGAGCACATGCGCGACCCTACCCATAGCGAGGGTTCAAACCCGTGGGTTCTGGCTAGCCCACCGGTTCTGCGTCCGATGAAGCTTTAATAGTCTCGGGACTGAAAGCAAAAACATCAGTTAATACAAGATACAAGATGTTACGCCTTCAGCCTTTTCTACGCAGACGTAGTCGCGGGCAGCAGCTAGTGATTCACAAATGAGCTTATAACTGACAGATTCAGTCTATTGACATTCATAAATTAGCTTAGATGCACACATTTGATATTGTTTTATCGCTCTCACCAGTTCCGAGTTTTGTAAGGTATGCTGTTAAACAAGTTTTAACACTTGGTAACTAGTAATGGTATTTCATTAAACAACGTTCTAAACTCTAAACGCAGTTAAGGTGGTCTAATCGTAGCCAATGTGGTTAGGCGTCCTATTTTCGAAATTTTCGAAATCAAATAATTAGGATTAAGTATCTAAAGTAGGATTTAGACCCTAATCTATATGTTAGGCTGTAGAGCTATTCGAAAATTAATGTTGTTGTTTAACCCGGGCATTCACGCTTCAGGGGCATGATCTTAATTAATAAAGAGATTAAATACACTGATTGATAAATCCAGCCATGTAAATTATAATGCCTTTTAGTATTTGCAATATGTTTATAATGGAGAAGGGTTAAAATTTTAACAATTAACACTCTTTGAACTTGGTATTTTTCATGTCATTTTCTTGAAATTTAGTATGTAAAACTAGGTAGGTTTTATTTTTGTAGGTTTTATTTTTGAAAAATGTCCTTTTATCTCTGTTTTCAGGGAATGTAAAATATCATTCCAATATGATGGTGAATTTCGCCGAAAAAAATGTTATAATAAGACGGTCGGTAATCGGGCGGCCCCGAAACAGAAGGCCGCGGTTCGTGTCACGATTATTTACACACTTATTTTTTTGACTTTTTTTGTATACCAGATCATTGCTTTCTTTATTTTTTATTTTTTTAATTTCCAAAATACACGTTTCACCAAAAAAAAGGTCCTCCAGGTAATAATATATTATGTCTACTACAGTACAATTAATACAAGAATAGATGTTCACGCGCGAACCGGAACGTTATCGTCGAATCGATATAACGATCCCCACTTTTGTTTTTTTTTTTCTACATCAACCTACCGGCGACGATACGCACTACTGTTCGGTCTTAATACTTTTATATCCTAAAAATATCGCAATACATTCATACAGTCCACTACTTCTTTCATTTGAGCTACGGATACTACATAATGGTCCTTTCACCGTCTTGAAGAACTAGAAAATCGCCGATTAAGAGAAGTTGACGATACATAATTAGTGGCAAGAACCAGTTGGCGGACCTCAAAATTTCAAGAAAACTGTGCTGATTTTTGGCTTGGGATTACATCAAATATAAGCTATTGGATGGGAATTAGACGTTCTGGGTGAGTTCGTTCCAATTATTTTCCTAAAAATCCAACTTTTTTCCCAACCTACCTACATTCAATTTTTATTTTTTATTCCCCATAAAAATACATTATTTCGCCTTTATTTAAGTCATAATAGGCTTGCTAATTCATATATATACGTAAGTGATTACTTTATGTTAATATAATCACTCTTAAAATCATCACATCTGCAGAGATCGTATCCGTAGTGTCTTATCAGCTTAGCTGTTGCCGCCGAATTACTCGGTCAAGGTCGTTTATACTGCTAAGCTATTCTTACTACGTGTCTGCAAATCATTTTTACTAGTAATGTATTACACGCTCTAGTTCGTCTATTATAAAGTAGTGTTTAATATTATTAGTATTTTAAAAATCATTAATTATTCTAATTATCATTAAACATAAATAATTAAATAAATTTTTCAAATTATTTACAATGCCTGAATTGCCGGGAAATAAAGCTAGTGCCACTACACAGGTTTCAGACGAAATCAAATTACAAAGGAAACTAAGTGCTATGAAAGGAAAACTTACTGTTTTTAGCAACTATTTAGCCAAATTTAATGATTCATCTACCCTGTCCGACCTGTTTAAAATTGATTTGGAAGGGCGACTTTCAAAATTTGAAGCATTATATGTTCATTACGATGAATTACAGACGGAGGTTGAGACAATGGCTGACAAACCAGAGGAGGCATTCTCCGCGCGGGAGCAGTTTGAGGATGAATACTATACTCTAGTAGCCCGAGCACGGCAACTCCTGTCGAATTCCGGTGCAGCTAGTGAGCGTTTTCTCGAATGTGGAGGTGGTGTAGCAGGCTCCACAGACTCAATACCAGGATGTACCAAATTTAATAATAATTTTGTTCGCTTACCCAAAATCGATTTTACCCCGTTTCGATGGCAACTATCTGGGCTGGTTAGAGTTCAGGGACACTTTCCTATCCTTAATCCATCAAAACGAGAGTATCGACAACATAAACAAATTCCATTACTTGCGAGCATCATTAAAAGGAAGTGCATCCGAAATAATTAAAAATCTCGACTTCAATAGTGATAATTATCAATCGGCATGGAGTTTGTTATGTGATCGGTACAACAATAATCGTCTTCTTGTAAATAATCATGTGCATGCTTTGTTCAGTGTTAATCCCGTTATAAGGGAGTCTAGTAAATGCTTACGTCGTCTTATAGATATCACCAATAAAAATATACGTGCCTTAAAAACACTGAACGAACCAACACAGTATTGGGACACTCTTCTTATTTATATGCTATCTGCTAAACTCGATTCAGTCACAAATAGACAATGGGAAGAGTACCGTAATACGTTATCTATGCCTCCCACTATGTCCCAGTTCAGTACATTCGTCAGTAATAGGGCTGACTTATTAGAAACCATTGAGGAGAGCCATTTAAATCAATCTAAATCTAGTAGTAATTTTCACAAATCTAAAAGTTTTATCGTAGCAACAAACACAAATAATAAAAGTTCGATTAAAAAAAGTTACTCATTATCATGTCCTTTGTGCTCAAATAACCATTTTCTCTTCACATGTGAGGCATTTAGAAATTTACCTGTTGAAGCACGAATTCAAAAGGCTAAAGATTTGAAGGTCTGTCTAAATTGTTTACGTTCTGGGCATAACGAAAAGAGATGTAAACTTTCCCATTGCAAGTACTGCAAAAATAAGCACAATACTCTTTTACATGTCGAAATTACTGAGCCTATTTATCAAGATCCTATGCCCACTAATCATGACAGTGTAGCCTTATCGACAAATATAGAACCACATTCTGTTTTGCTGTCCACAGCTTTGGTGCGTGTTGTAAGCCACGACGGCCAGCAGCTTCACGCTCGAATTTTGTTGGATAACGGTAGCACTGCCAACTTTATTACACAAGATCTTTGCTGTCGACTTGGCTTGTCGCGACATGGCACGAGCTCTACGGTAACGGGTATTAATAATCAGATTTCCTTTAGCACACAGTCTTGCAAACTCAAAATTGAGTCTTTATACAGTGACTACAGGATAGACATTGATTGCCTAATATTACCTGAAATAACAAAAGCCTTGCCATCTTCAAAGTTGGACATTCAAAGCATTCCCATTCCTAAGGGAATTCATTTAGCGGATCCTAAGTTTTATATTCCATCAGTTATCGACATTCTAGTAGGAGCTGAAATATTTTTGGAATGTCTTAGGTCATTCAACTATTGATTTAGGCAAAGGGCAACCGAAATTGCATGAAACTTTATTAGGGTGGATTGTGTCAGGTCCTATATTACGCGTTCAACCTAAGTCATTAACTCATACTTGTAATTACTTATCTACTACAGATGCCAATCCCGATCTTACACGATTTTGGGAACTTGATACTGTGTCACCACAGCATACCTTATCATTAGAAGAGCGTGCCTGTGAAGAAAATTTTACTGAAACCACAAAACGCAATAGCGAAGGCCGGTTTATTGTAACCATTCCTTTAAAAGAGTCGCCAGGCATTTTAGGTGACTCATATTGTATGGCCAAACGTAGGTTTCTATCTTTAGAACAGCGACTTATAAATAATCCAAAACTAAAGGAAATGTATGTAGACTTTCTATCAGAATACATTTCACTTGGTCACATGACTCAAAACAAATCTTTTTATAATAATGAAAACAATTTTAAATATTTTCTTCCCCATCATGGTGTTTTGAATAAAGTAAGCACCACCACAAAACTTCGTGTAGTTTTCGATGCATCTGCGGTCACAACATCAGGTAAATCATTTAACGACATTCAAATGATCGGTCCAACTGTGCAAGATGATTTACTATCTATTTTGTTACGATTTCGTCAGCACAAGTATGTCGTGACAGCAGATGTTGAGAAAATGTATAGGCAGATTTTAGTAGAACCGAATCAGCGTTCGCTACAACAAATATTATGGCGTTTTAATCAATCAGAACCAATCAAAATCTATACACTAAACACAATCACTTACGGTACAGCATCAGCGCCGTTTCTAGCTACCAGATGCTTAGTACAGCTAGCTAATGGATGTAGCGATGAGAAAGTACGTAGAGCCATATTACATGATTTCTATGTTGATGATTATCTTTCTGGTTGTTCGTCCATAGAAGAAACCATTAATTTATGCCAGGGCGTAATAAATACTTTACAGTCTGCAAAGTTTCATTTGCGAAAATTTCATTCAAACAATTTCGAGGTCTTAAGAGCTTTATTTCAAAATAATAATATGAACGATCAAGTAGATTTAAGTAGTAACGAAATGTCTAAAACTTTAGGACTCAATTGGCAATGTCGTACTGATACCTTTTTATTTTTAATTAACATAACTCCGTCTAATATAATCAATAAAAGGCATATCCTATCCATTATATCGCAGGTTTTCGATCCCTTAGGCTTAATATGTCCATGTATTGTTGAGGCAAAGCTTTTAATGCAACGATTGTGGATTGATAAATGTTCGTGGGACGAAGCTGTTTCCTCTGACATTCACAAATTATGGCTTGACTTTGTTGAAAACTTACCACTGTTGAATAAAATAAGAATACCTAGATGGGTCGTCTGTGAATCACCTGTAGACATACAGCTCCATGTCTTCTGTGACGCTTCTGAAAAGGCTTATGGGGCAGCAGCTTACATACGATCCTCCGATGGGCTTAAGGCAAACATTCAACTGCTCACTTCGAAAAATCGCGTCGCACCTATCAAACCAACCACAATTCCACGGCTTGAGTTGTGCGGGGCTTTATTGGGTTCAAGACTGTGTACTAAAGTTCGGGAATCTCTTACATTGCATATAAATAAAATTTACTTTTGGTGCGACTCAACCATAGTCTTAGGATGGTTATCTATGTCACCAAATTTGCTTAAACCGTTTGTACGTAACAGAGTCAATGAGATCCAAGAAAGTACAGCCGGGTGTAAATGGGGTTACGTGCCATCGTCAGACAATCCAGCAGACATATTATCTCGTGGGCTTAAAGCACAACTTCTTGTAGATTGCTCATTATGGTGGGACGGACCTTCATTCTTGCAGCATGATGAAAGTAAATGGCCTGTCATTCCTACCAGTAACACAAAGTCTGACTTACCTGAAGTCGTCTGCCATTTTACGGACAACATCTCTAACAAAAATATGGAGTTGACAATTATTCAAAATTTAATAAATAAACACTCCAATTTGAAACATTTACAAAGAATAGTAGCCTACATACAACGATTCATCCACAACACGAAAAACAAAGAAAATAAATCAAAGGGTCCTCTTAGTGTAGAGGAATTAGACATCTCAATGAAATGTTTATTACACAGTGCTCAACAAGAAATGTTTCCAATCGAATACAAAATACTTAAATCGGGCAAGTCCTTGTCGCCAAAATACAGAATTGTTTTTTTAACACCGTTTTTGGACGCAGACGATCTCATTCGCGTGGGGGGGAGGCTTGATAACTCACCGTACGACTTCAATATCAAGCATCCTGTTTTACTGTGTAGTAAGCATCATTTTACTAAAATTTTGTTTCGATTTTATCATGAGAAAACTCTACACGCAGGTCCACAGCTTCTATTAGCGAATATCCGACAAAAGTATTGGCCATTAGGCGGCCGTAACTTGTCTAGATCTGTGGTTAAAAAGTGCGTGAAGTGTTTTCGGAACAAAGCTCGAAGTGTGCAACCTTTAATGGGACAGCTCCCTTCCTCAAGGACCTCACTTGAATTTCCTTTCCTAAACTGTAGTGTCGACTATGCCGGCCCATTAATGATTGCAGATCGAAGGGGTAGGGGATGCAAACTCATCAAGTCATACCTGTGTATTTTCGTCTGTCTCGCAGTTAAAGCTGTACACCTGGAGCTTGTTACAGACCTCACAAAGGAGGGTTACATAGCGGCTGTAAGTCGATTTATTTCTCGCAGAGGAAAGCCGCAGAGTATTTTATCTGATAATGGCACCAACTTCGTGGGTGCTTGCAATGAGTTACGGCTCTTTCTTAGTAATGAGAATGAAAAGGTTACCTCGGATATGGCCCAAGAAGGTATTAAATTCATATTTAGTCCGGTTTATGCCCCTCACTTTAATGGCCTCGCTGAAGCTGCGGTACGTAGTACTAAGCAAACTTTAAGAAAACTACTACAATTAACTCATTTCGTATATGAGGAAATGGCTACCTGTTTGACTTCTATAGAGGCAATTCTGAATTCCCGTCCATTGACTCCTTTCTCTTCCAACCCATGCGATCTCACAGCTCTCACTCCTTCACACTTTTTAATTGGACGACCACTCACCGCTGTTCCTCATCCGCAAGTGACTGATACCAATATCACCCGGTTGGAACGATATCGACGAGTACAATACGTCCAACAACATTTTTGGCAGCGTTTTAACTCTGAATATGTTTGTCTACTTCAACAGAAGACCAAGTGGCACAGTTCTACAGCATCACTTACAGAAGGCGCCTTAGTACTCATCCGTGATAAAACGCAGCCTCCACTTCTTTGGCTTCTAGGACGCATCGTACGAAGCTTTCCTGGAGCAGATGGCATCACAAGGGTTGCCGAAATAAAAACAAAGAAGGGAATTATTCGAAGGGCCTATAATAACATCTGCCCTCTACCTATTTATTGAACACATCCATTTGGATCTCTTCAACACGGGGAGTATGTTCACGCGCGAACCGGAACGTTATCGTCGAATCGATATAACGATCCCCACTTTTGTTTTTTTTTTCTACATCAACCTACCGGCGACGATACGCACTACTGTTCGGTCTTAATACTTTTATATCCTAAAAATATCGCAATACATTCATACAGTCCACTACTTCTTTCATTTGAGCTACGGATCCTACAATAGAACTTAGTTCATGGAGACGAAAAAGTTTAACTGTTTGTTAAAAATTTAATTTTCACTAATAAATAATTCTATTAGGCAAGCAACAAGCGGTTAGGAAGGTACAGTTAGGAATCTCTTAATGCATATTAACCGTTTACGTTATCATCAATCAATTATTTAAAAATTCATAGTGGTCGCAAACAAACATTTATGAAGCCAATGGCGCCTTGTGGTAAGCGTACCGATACAAAGCTGAAATTTTTAGTGTATCCTGCCTGAAATCAATTTTGTTACCTATTTATATTAATATTTGTTTAGATTATACTACACAATGTGTCTGTGTAATACACTGAAGTTAAAAAAAAACGCATAAAATTTGCCTTGTTATAAAAAAGACGAAAATGGCGAACGGAATAACTAAAAATGCAACCGTATTATATTCCCTCTAAAGTCGATAACCCGTTGTTCGAAATGATCGTGATGTTAAGCGTGTTTTTCAGGCCCGCAGCTGAAATGTAATGGGTATATTTACAAAATGCAGTATGCGGAACTCTATATCGAATTCATATTAACGTGGCGAACTTTATGTTATACGTCCTGTGTCTTTAAATTGAAAAGTAAAATAAATATCCTAAAGGTCAAAAACATTTTCTGTTCATTACACCGAGTTTTTTGTGGCAGTTATTAGAAGGCAGTTGTGGTTTAGTGGCCACAGCGCCAAGCGCTGAGTAGTGGGTTCGGCATCTAACAGCTGCACACCAATAAGTAAGTCGTATTAATTTTTAATTTACCAGAACTATTAAATGAGCAAATCACTATCTCATATTTATTTTCGTACATGTTACAAACAAAACTATATATACTATTTTATTTACAACTAAATTTTATTTAAAATGAATAAAGTTTGTCGCACAATGCTGGAGAAAAAAAGTGTTACCTACATGACTGCTGTGTAGTGTTACTTGTTTTTTATTATATAATTAAAAGCATTCGCAAGGTGCGGTGACAAAGATGAATATGACTGTAGTCGGCATGGTCATCAAAACTCATAGACGTTAATTTATGACCACGCTATATCACGGTAATATTAGTCCTTGTAAGGTAACACTGTTACTTTGAATTTAGGGTATAACGCTGAGGAAAACGACTCTTACCATGTACTAAGACTTGTGACGTACATAAATTTACATTAACATTTTTACACATTTAGATTTCACCTTGTGTTCAGATTAGCACTGAAATGAAAAAGTAATATAATCAACTAGTGGACCCAGCAGAGGTTGTCCTGTATACTGTATACTTAAATCCGACAAAACCTTAAAAAAAAGTGAATCTAAACCACCCAAGGCACCACCAAAACGCATACAAAAAAAATCATTCAAATCGGTCTAGCCGTTTAGGAGGAGTTCAGTGACAACACACGTACAGTACAATTATATAACATGTAAAGATGTAAAGGTGTAAAACTATTAAAGTGTCCTAGAAATTTTATATCTCTTTAATAGCGCGGGCATTTTATTATTAGCTCAGATGAGCTAATAAACGTGCTCAAATATACTTAATAAGTAATCCTAAGGAATCTTCCTCCGTTAGGGAAGAAGCTGGTAGTAGTAAGAAGAAGGTGCAGTACCAAAATGTTTAGTCCATTAACGGGCTAGTGACCATCATCAGTTCCAATTCCACCTAGTTGGGATTGCCATAATGTGTGATACATGTCATATAAAAATATCATAAAATTTAAAAAAAATGTCATTAAAATTGTAGAAAAAACGTTTTTCGCCGTTGTGTAAATCGAACCCTCGTCTTCGGAATTCGCGCCCTGACGCTTTAGCCAATAAGCTAAAAGGCTGATTGCCACACCGACGAAAATCTCAACGTCTTTTATCTACATTATTTATTAGCATTTGAAGCAATGCTTGGCGCATCTATTGTTAAAAATATCCTTATATTTATACACGCATGTATGAATCCTAAATCATCAAAAAAGTTGTTCGGAACTTGTCGGTATTAAAAACGATCCCCATTTGAAAGAAAGTTACTTAGAGCGCAGTCAGCCGTTGCAATTGATTGCAGCTGAAGCAATTTTGATAGAGACACATGGCTATTGCAATGTTGCAATTCTCGTTTATTTTGAAATTTGAAGTAAAATTCTGCTCCGAACGGATTTTTTAACAAATTGTGATACAAAAATTGTTTTGTTACTAGCCTCTCTGATAATAAATGGTTGAAGGTAAGGCAGTAGTATAGTTGAAGACAAACGTATCTCGCTGTAAGCCTGTTCATTCTTGCATTAAGAACATTTTAATCGGACAGAAAAACAGACTTCAGTAAAATGTTGCGTTATTTTGCTGTAAGTATTACGAACAACAAAGCGAACATTTATATGTTACCTGAAGTAAAAATAATTACTATGCTAATAATTTATCTGTTAAATTTTTCTTACCGTTTCGTTTAAAATATGAAACGTGTTTTAACTAGTAAAGTGACTAAATCTTTATCTCGAAGTTATTGTATGGCTGCTATTTGTTTATCGTTCAAAGCTTGAATAAGAAAGATATTGAAGTGCATATAAATGCATTGAATGTTATTTCATTTTTTATTTCTTAATTTAGAGAGGATGACAGTAATTAAAAAAAATACTTTAGGGTCTTATTAGTTGTAAATTGCTAACTTTTGCTTGAAAATTTTTCATTATTTTCATGAAATAACGTAAACTCTTCAAAGTGTCATATCACAACGCACCGCCGGTTCAGAAGTGTGTATCGTACTTTCGTTTGATTGTAAACAACAAATTTTGAAATGTTAATACGTAATCAATTTGATGTAAAGTTTTAAGCGTTCTAGATGAACAATATTAACACGAAAAACGAAATATTGTCGGCATTCAAACATGAATTTTATCCTATTACGTCAATAGCTGCATGAAAAGTTATAGTTACTTAATACACAAATTATAAGGAATTGACTTTATTTATTTATCAAAGACTTAACATAATGTTAATTAAGATAAGGGTTCCGTACCGAAATGGTAAAAAGTGTATTACTGAGACTGTTCTGTGTGTCTGTCTGTCCGTCTGTCACCAAGCTGAATCATGAACCATATTAGACAGTTGAAATTTTCACAGATGATGTATTTCTATTGGCGCTATAACAACAAATATTATCATGAAAAACAGAATGACACCTCCGTATTAACATGTGAATGACCTTTCAGTATCCATATAATTAACAATTTATCGCAATTTAACCCTATTGTTCATAGGAATGAGGTAGCTCATGAATTGTTATGAAAAAAGAACAATGGAATTAAAATTAAAATTTTACACAACACACATTGCCTAATAACTAAGAAGGAAGTTAAAATATTCGAGATCACATAAGCAAGAAAGGTGTGCATAAACTTTTACAGAAGCAGCAAAGATATAAAAGTAAAATGGAACAAGAAGGTATCTATCTACATCATTCTTTACTGTATTTTTAGCAATGATTGGCGCCATTGAATAAACAGCATAATATATAATAATCACCTCACTTATATAATAAAAACCTTACAAGGAATATTTAACGATCTTGAATGCAGAGACTAGCTCTTAAATAAAAATTAATCCTTAACTTTTAAGGCGTGAAAATATCAAGTATGACAAGTCAACGTCCAGCATACTATTTTCTGATGTGATTCAGTACATGGAAATTCTGTGGGTTATAAAGTTCATTGATACATTTTGCTTAAATATTTTTAGGTAGTAAAATGTTAGAGAGCGCTTTACATCTTCGATCCTCTCGATGTTCTTATAAGACCTTTATTTTATGTAATTTCTGCTGGTGAAACTTTATGTTTTGTATAAAGGTATTCAATAATTAATATACGGATAAGTATAAAATAAAGTCGTCCCGCTGTCTGTCAGTCCCTATATGTATATGCTTAGATCTTTAAAACTACGCAACGGATTTTGATGCTATTTTCTTTAATAGATAGAGTGATTCAAGATGAAGGTTTATATGTATAATTCATGCATAATATAACGATACACTGATAATTTTAGACGTTTCTAATGCGATGTGCAAATAAACACTCAGCATGCACCCGTGCGAAGCCGGGGCGGGTCGCTAGTATACGGATAAATAACAATTCTAAGGAAAATTAAACTTGGACCTATTTCCTTCAATTTCTGTAACGAAAATATTTACTTGATTTTATTTTCTCCAACCTAGCCTTGAGGTTCCGTTTGAAACGAAACTCAATTAAGGATTAATTAAATATCAACAAGATCTTTTTTGGGGTTTGCGGTTTTATTTGTACCTATTAAACCCGGCGAATAGTAACACTTTAGTTATCCTAAATGTTAAATCAATAAAATGAGTAAAAGAGTGTACCTCTCCTTGGAAGATTCCGCTTCGTGCTTCCACACGGAACGGACGTTACTCTGAGCCGGAGGGCCCATGCCAACCGACCCGGAAGCCATCTTGCAACCGTTGTTGCTAATTTTATTTCTTTTATCTCTTGGTGTGCACTGTTCGCCTTATCGTTGTCGTGTTTCGCGGTCTACGGTTAGGGAAGTCTCAAGCAAGAAGAAAGAAGAAACATTATAGAAGAAAGAAAAAACATTATAGAAGAAAGAAGAAACTTTGCCCGACTTCCGAGCGGATAATGTTAGTGTAGTGTTGTGCTCGTAGGCAGGTTCCTGTCCGTAAGTAGAATCTACACACAGTTCACGTCTCAGAGGCGGCATTGTAATTTTTATCTGTGTGCTTGTTGCATTAGGCGACAGCTAGGTACTCACCCTAGTGCA